AGCTTCGACCGATTCCCCTGCTGAAACTTCCACAGACGCATATAGGCCTTGAATACCTTGTGGAAGTAGTGTCCCTGTGCTCGTCCGAACGCCGGCAAATCCCTAACTCTGGCGAACTTCCGATCAGCGTTCTCCACCAGGGCCCGGAACGTTCTGGAAACGTCTTCCTCCCCCGCCATGAGCAACCAAATCGCCAGAGTCTTCTTCCTCACCGTCTGTGACAATCGCCGTAGGTTTTCATCGTCGCCGGTGAAAAAACTAGAGAGAGAGAGAGAGGGGAGAGAGGCTTTTATGGTGACGAGACGACGGGTGAGAGAGAGAGAGGGCGACAGGTAAATATTCTCCGTTTTTCTTTCGATTATTATTTAATTTTATTTTCGTTATTAGTTTTTATTTTTTAATTTCCTTTTTGAGTTGTTCACCTTTATAAAAGCAAGCAGTTGATAAAATCAAGGAAATGTCTTTGGGATGAATAATAATTATACGTATTAACATTTATATATAAAAAAACTCTTTATCTAAAAAAGCTACTTTTGTTTGCTACTCTAACATTGCAAAATTCAAAGTCTTGGTCTGGAATTTGGGATACTGAAATTATAATTTTTTTTTCAAATTAAATTATAATTGGAATAGCCTTTTATAACGAGAAAGATTATAAATTAGGAAAAAAAACAAAATTAAAATAAGGGAGGAGTATACTCTAAGGCCAATTGCATCGTCGCTAATAACGAGAACGCATGTGGTCGAACCAAAAAGAATTTGCAGAGCCATGTCTCGTTTCTTTGTATTCATAGTGACATGAGCTGTCATCTCCATTCCACATATACGTACATTACACACGCATATATATATATATATATATGCACCATGTCGTCTTCCATAATGCATTTGAAAAAGCAATGGCATCATAAGGTCATTGTTAATCGCGTTTTGCATTAGCTGTTGAGTTTGGTAACGCGATATTATAATATGGTAACAAATACGCACATGAATGATGCGTCTAATCATTCCATAAGTAGTGATGATTTTTGAATAATTATGAAAAAATACGCAATTATTGCATCATTTTGTTATATGTTCTTAATGAACCTTTTAGGTTGTGATTTCCCCACAACAAAATCCAAATTTATTATAAGCATATTGAAATTCGCATACTAAGAATGATATTTTATTGCACTCGCGCATATTCATCTATTCTTTCATCCAATTGTATATTCCGAATATCCGATCCATGTGTCGGTCCATTAAATGACATTCTTCCTGTTTGTGTACACACCATGGGTTATATACACTCTTTTCATTGCACATATATATAGAGCACGGTCTTTTGTTCTTTCATTGCCCAAAAGAGGATTTTTGTTTGATAATAAAATTATGCAGTAGTTTTGTAAATAAAATATTATCAATATTATTATTACAAATATAAATACTTTATTTGTCCAAACAAAATCACGGAGAATCAAAACAGCCTCGGAAACTCGGAAGGATCCAACGAAGAAAAGTGACGCACAAAAAAGAAGATCCTAAAGTGACGCAATTGCCCCTCTTAATGCGTTGACTTATTGTAATCACCTTTTCTTGAATTCAATTATTGGTTAAATCGCATTCACATATATATATATATATATAATATGTGTATCAAAACCCATACATTTTGAAAAATTGAGAATTATATACGTATATATATATATATATATATATATTGTTTTTGTGTGATTATATTGTTGGGGTAGACAAGATATATAACTTGACAAATTTCATTTTTTTAATGTGTTTGTTTATAATAAAAATAATGGGCAAATCCCTTGACGAATATATAATGGGTGTGGTTTATCAAATATATATATATATATATATATAATGGGTGTGGTGGTTGGATATGAGTGGTCTCACCTCAAGTCATTTTCTTTTTTTTTCTATTTTTCCCATGGTGAATATAATAGACATCAATCAATATTCAATATTTTATATAATATAAATTAAATTAATTTCAACTGGTTACGAAAATGCAGGTCGCTTTTCTGCGTGTTTTTGTTAGGTGGAAACTTTATTTACTTGTTACAAACATGTAGCCTTTATCTTGTACATGTTTTCTTTTCTTTGTATGTGATTCATCATAGTCCATATTTCTGATTATAGATAAAATAACAACGTAATACGGTCCAGTGATTTTTTTCAATATATAGTTTATTATTATTATTAGTATTATTATTTCTCATGGAAGTCCATTTAATAAACTACAGAAATAATTAGCTTGAATTCATAGTTTTAGTTTTATTTTCACCTCTCTTTTTCACGTATCTAACTTTCCAAATTATTTACGCGATTAATCAATTATTTGATCAAATATCATTCAATGCTATGATTTCGTTAAAGCTGTTAATTTTTTATTTTTTATATCTATTGTAAAATAATAGTTTGAAAATATCAAAGGGAAATTGTCTGTGTTTTTTGATGGAGAATATAGTAAATAACGATAATGACGTGTCGCAACTATATTAAATTCAGCCTACAAATAACCATATTCTATTAAATCACAATGTCAGCGGCCATATGGTACAATTTTTTCATGTTCGTTTTTATATCCCAATCTCGTTTCCTGTAAATTGTGGGCTTATAGGCCCATTCATTAATAAAACAGCCCAATGGATAATTTAGGCTAATTTGTTTTTTTTTCATACTTGGCCCATTAATACTTTTTTTTTTCATTTCAGCCCCCAATTACGAGCTAATGAAATTTTCCTTCTTGTTTTTGTTGGGCCGCACTTATATTGATTTGTCATTAGAGAAAAATAAAAGCTATGAGCGAAATAGTTGTTATAAAATATGAATCCGTGCCGAAAAATAAAAAAAAATACAAAAATGTTAGAAATTATTAAAAAAAATGAAAAAAAATATGACTCGTGAATCAAGTTGCTGGCCATCTAAACTGGCCCGTGACGAGTTCGGCTCGTCGAATCCGTCTTTTTTATTCATATTTTTCCAATTTATCTCGATAAAAACGGATCGACTCGTGAACTAGATCCATTTTCGCATTTCGAATGCAATACATATCCTCCCACGTAACATATGTATATATATATATATATGTATGTATATAATGTAGCATGTTTTCAATTTAGCATGGACCGATGGTATGAAACATAGGAATAAAAAGGGATAAACATGATCGATCATGAAGACTTTTACGGATGTCACTGGTCAAGTGAGGGACCTAAAGAAAAAAAAAGCCAAGTGGAATATTTACAACTTGCAAACTTTTGTTTATAAATGCGCTTTCGTTCTTTCTTTTTAATGTCTATGTTATTGAATAGTATCATGAATTTGACATAAAGGGTCGAGACTGTCCATCGTATTAAGCCTACTTGGCAACTAAATCCATGCATATATATATATAGACCTATCATCCAATATATGTATATATATATATATATATATATCCAAAATGATTATAAAGATGTTTTTTAATATTATATTATACATTTCACCTCTGCTATATTAACCCTCAAACAGTTATATTTTCTTTTATTCAAATGTTGTATATCCCTTTCCTTTCACTGAAAGCATGCAGATATTTTTTAAACATGACACTGTAGTAGTGGATTTTATGTGTTTGAATCAAAGAGAATGAAATGGACCCTTATGAATGTTATGTCGCTACAATCTCTTTCTCATTCAATTAAAGATGAACATTGATTACAGATTAGGAAATAATTAGTTAAATCAAATTAAAACACCCATTTCACAAAATTAAAACAAAGTTCACAAGGGCAAGACATAAAAAACTTAGGGTAAATATCCAACTTAGCATTGAAAGATTGGTCCGAATTGATGGCATGTTACAACTATAGTCTTACGTTTTTCATACATACTATATATACATATATATAAATATCACAATTTAAAAACAATTTCGCAGAAATGAAGGAAAATAAATAAAAATGAAAGAAAAGTAAAGTAAGGGGAAAAATCGATGGCTAGAAAAGACCCATCTTGGCGTGGCGTGTGAGGGGCGGATACCATTGACGGGGACACCCAATACGTCGCCGTTTAAGACAAAATCCCTACGGCAAACGAGAGAGCGACTCTTCTTCCTTGATTTGAAAAAAAAAATTGCCTTTTCACGTATGAATTGAATGTGTAAAAAAATAGCTTTAGTTTAATTTTTTTCTGTCTCACTTAAACAATCTTTTACCCTTTTGATTTCTATTTACACTGCCATATTTATAGACAAAGGATATAATTTAAAAACGAAAGAAATAAGAAAACACATGTAAGTTTATATATAATACGCTATTTTTTTTATATCGTTTAAGAGTACATAATTAGACCAAGATAACATATTCGGGCAACGTATTACCAATTTATTTTGAATTATAGAAACGAAATATTGAGAAAGTCTTGATTTCTTTTCCTCATAATAAAGTTTCGTTTAAAAGTGTGTTTTTATAAATAAATAAAAAATTACAAAGGGGCCGAATTTGTTGACTTTGAATATCTGCGAATGTGGGCCCATTAGTTGCTGACTCGAACTATTCTCAAGGACCACTTCATAACGGACACGTGGCAACTTGTCGCCGACAACTCCGTAATTATCAGCCAATCCGAACGGAGCCGGCGCCAGCCGTACAAGCTGTCGCCTTTAACGGGATCGTATACATGGAACCATTTTAGCTTCTTCTTTTTTGTTTAGTATATATATTGATATATTGTTTTTATTATGCACAAAATGTATAATTAAATCATGTTTAATAATTCAATGATCATTTCGTGTAACAAAAATTGCAATTAATAATATTTCCTAGTTCAATACAGTGGTTGATATGGTTGTCACTTTGTAATTTGTATTGGTGTAAGGTTCCAACCTTATGTAATGGGATATTGGAATTATTTTGTCTGATTAATATTTATAATTGTATTCTATTTTTAATTCAAAGCATCATAGCAAAATAAAGAAACCAAAACAATGGATATGTACGGAAAGGATTTATTAAACAAATGTATTACTTAATATCATAATCTTGCTCTTTTAATATTGTGGGATTAATTGATTACTGATACTAATGACAATAATAATAATAATACTCTTTTCCCCTTTTTATATTATTTTTCTTCTAGAAACGACCTCCCCGAGTAGAACTTGCAAACTTAGGTAATTTTTATGTGAATAAATTGATGTATATATATGTTGCCATGCACATTTCAGATATAGTAATTTAATTATTATTATTATTGTATAAAGTGGTTAGTTTCTCTTTTTTTTTTGCAGTATTTGTGATCATACCTTATCATACAAAAGAAAATGAAAGTTTATTTTTGTTAATA